ATAAAAATTATACAAGAAGCAAACCCCATACCAATAATCTCAGTAGTCAAGAAAGACATGAAGAAATGACAAAAAAATTTTTTAAATAGGCTATAATTTATATTAATTTTACTTAACAAATGAATGCTTTTAACCCCAAGTACAATGTATAATTATTCTAAAATTTTTATTGAACTCAGTTTTTAGTTTATGTTAATATTACTTAATTTTGAAACATTTTGAGCTATATGGTTCCAAAAATAAAAACATTTAAAGATAAATAATAAAAACATCTCCTCAAAAGAAAACCATACATACATAGAGATAGGTATACACATAGAGAGAGAGTGAGTTTAAGTCCAGCTGTGATAGCATGAGCTGGTAGACCCTGTTACTTGGAAGGCTACAGCTACATGGGAAGAGCAAGCTTGATTCCCGGCTCACTCTAAAAACAGCGGGACATGGCAATACCTGCCTGTATCCCAGCTACTCTGGAGCCTGAATCAGAAGGATTGTGACACAGTGAGACCCTGTCTTTAAAAAAATAAAGGCAAAAAAAAAAGCAGTATATATCTAGAGATTCAGTAAATTGCTAAGACCTAGCCATGTTTTATATTATTTTTTGAAAATACTCTAAATATGAAATAATGCATCTAAATAATTCTCTAAAAAATTAACTTTTAAAAAACTTTTAATTAGTTGAACTGATAACTTCACTATGTCATGCCTCAGGCTTAGGAGGTACATTGTCAGGTCTAAAGAACATTTACTGTAGTCTAAAACTATAGAAGAGCAAATGTTTCTGAGGCATATGGAATATCATATTAACAATAGTGACCATTTATCAAAAAAGCCTATTCCCCCCAAACATGATCAAGATATGGAATTTATGTTATAGCCATAAATTTAGCTCTGGCCAGGGGGCATTAGATATTTAGCCTATGTTTTATCATACCTGTGTAAATATAAACTTGAAGAACTACATTGGCTTCCTTTTGTGCTCTCTAATGCAGAAAGAGGTCTTTAAATTATTAACTCAATGACTTCTATGAAAATATTATGGTACAGAAAATTTTAGTTCCATATCCTTCTTTGTTTACTGTGACACATATCAGAAATAGTCTCCAAGGTAAGTTCAAGATCTTACAACCATTTAGAAACTTCTAGCAACATACCAACTGGTTAAAGCTTGGTAATACAAACACAGATCTTATAGATATTTGTTCCAGCATTTGTGAAAATCCAGTGCTTGAGTCTTACCAGTGTAAGAACCCTTTAGAATGTAGGAAACTTCCATAAGATAACCAAATACATGTACCTCTGCAACAAGATTACTCCAAATAACTCTCCTAGGAGGCATGAGAGCAGGAGAGAACTTAAATTACTATTAAATAGATGAATGCCCTTGAAACTTACAATACCTTATTCCCATTATAAGAACCAGAGTTGGTGGGTCATATTCCCCACAAGCTGACATTACCTATGAGAAAAGAACATGTGTCACAAGAACTACCACCTGTCTACCACAGTACCCAATTACCTAACACAGTGTGGAAACTTGGTTGGTATTTATTCCTCAAAATGATAAATGATGTAGTGAATACTACTACTTTTAGTAAAATCTCAACCAGATTAGGCATCATCAATTCTTAATTCAACAGAATCTGAAACTGTGGCAAGACATTTAGTGTGCTGCAGGGGTTGTGAACTAGAAATAGAAAAACACAGGTGCTATCCCTGGTCACTGTTCAACTGGTATGAATGTGAGCGTGCACACATCTTCTAAGGCTTTTGTTTAGTTTTTAAAAACTAGAATGAAAGCTTCCATTTCTCAGAGGTGACTACATTTAGGTAAGACTTAATCATAGTTAAGGATAGAAGCAGCATCAGAAAACAGTCAAGATGTAAAAAGTAAAAGAGGAAGTTAAGGCTCAGGTTAATAATTTGCCCAAGATTAAAGAGCAGATAGAAAGTTGAGTTGGAAGCTATGCATGATAATTAAATAGATTATTGCATTTTTAAAGCAATTACCTTACATGCTGTTTTCTTTTGGGAGGGGGGAGAATTAATTTCAAGTAATGGCCATGATTTTTTTTTTTTGAGAGATTTTCGCTGTAGGGTGCGTGCGCTCGCCAGACAGAGACATAGAGACAGAAAGCAAGAAATCACCCTCCGGGGGGATGGTCACGCTGCAATCCCTTCTCCTTCGTTCTCCTCCATTCTCCTCTCGGGAGCTTGGGCCCGCACGCACACACGCCGGCGTGAGTTTTAAGCCACCGGGTCGGGGACACAAACCGCGGTGGACTACGTGGGAGTCCAGCGACATAGCCATTACACTAACTGCTGGTTCCCAAGTAATGGCCATGATTAATTACATTATCTTCGAAGTCCCTCTTGTTTAAGGGCCTTTGAGATCATCTACTCAAACACTTACCTTTACAAATGAGAACCTGAAATTACATTGAATGAGAATGAGGTATCCTTTTTCTATGAAAAACATGTCATTTTACATGTGAAAACACCTTTTAAAGGGATATTTTTTTTTGGAGAGGTTTTTGCTCTAGGGCACGTGCGCTTGCCAGATAGACAGAGAGACAGAGCGAGACAGAGAGACAGAAAGCGAGAAATCACCCCCTAAGCGGGGTGGCCATGCCTCAATCCCTTCTCCTACATTTTCCTCTCAGGATCCTGGGCACGCACGCACACGCGCCCGGCGTGAGTTTTAAGCCACCGGATGGGGAACACGAACCGTGGTCGACTACATGGGATTCCAGCGACACAGTCATTACGCTAACTGCTGGTCCCAAGGGATTTAAAGTATAAATGGTGGGGATGAAAATTGAGATAGACAATTCCTATGCCTCAACTTTTTGAGACTGGGTATTGCAATTGTTTTTGGAACCATTTGGCTTGGTGATACCTATGGGCAACTGTTGTATAAGTTATTTATTTATTTTTGGTGCAGGAAAATAAATGGATGAGATAGTATCTGTATTCTGCCTAGATCTGAGGGTTAGGACGTCAGCCTGGTAAGGAGAATTGGGTTAGCTTTTGAAGGTAAAAAGTACTTTGCCATAATTTTTTTTCAAAATGACACTTAAAATTTTATTTTTTATTCATAATCAAAAGTGTGTGTGCATGAGAGAGCAAGGGAGGAGGAGAGAAAGACAAGCACCTGTGACAGGGTCTCATCATACCACAATATCCTCCCTTCTAACCCCCTAGCTCCTCAGGATTTTAGATAAGCGCATGTATGCCAGGCATATGTCAGGTTGACCAGGCCAGGATCCAAACCTGCAGTTAGCCACGTGGCTTCCAACACTGCAGTTCAGCATACTTTCATCTGCACCACTTCCCATGGCACTTATGTGCGATTCAGAGCAAAAGTACTGCCATTTTGGATGTAAATGTCTAAGGGCAATGCTGAGAATTGTACTTTCGGCATTAATATTAGTCTGATTTTAACTGCACACACAAGCTAGTGTGATCCATATGCATTTTAAGCAATAAAACTATGGATGCATCCTAACTTAGAGAAACTAATGAAAGTCTATAGCTTCGAGTCACTTCAAATCATTCATAAACTTGGTACATTTAACTTCTGTGCTAATAATGAGTTACTATTGCTTAAACAGAACTTTGTGTAGTTCAATTTTCAAGAATTTTTAGTGTCTTTTTTTTTTTTTTTTGGCTGTTGCTTTATCGTAAACACTGACTAAGGAGAGGCAGTAAAAGAAAATGCTTAGGTAGGAATCAAATCCACCAAGGGTCTTAAACCTGGCTTCACCGTTTATCAGCTGTGCAACCTTGAGCAAGTTCCCATAGACAGTTTAAGCCTCAGGTAAACTGAAATAATAGAGGTCAGGTCAAGTCTCTGTATAATGCATGACCCAGAAATGTTAAGAATGGCACTTAGAATATTGATTACATGGGACTAGAAGTTAGTGTAATGGCTATGTTGCTGAACTCCCACGTAGTTGACCACAGTTCAAGTCCCGGACCTAGTGGCTTAAACTTACTTACACTGGGCGTGTGTGCGTGAGTGCCCAAGATCCTGAGAGGAGAATGGAGGAGAAGGGATTGTGGCATGGCCGTCCCCTTTGGGGGGTGATTTCTCGCTTTCTGTCTCTCTGTCTCACTCTGTCTTTCTGGTGAGCGCACATGCCCTATAGCAAAAATCTCTCAAAAAAAAAAAAAAAGAATATTGATATAGGTTATGGAATGAGAATGATCCGGTGGGGAAGGAGGAGGAGGGAATTAGAATTTCTTCTGTGTTTTCCTGCTTTTTTTGCTTGGTTTTTCAGTGGTAGGAAAAGCCCTTTATTTCTACTATGTAGACCTAAAAAGTATAGAAAATACAACTTTAAACCCTAACTACTAGGGTCTAGCATAAAGCTTTCCAATTATACTTCTTTGTCATTATGAGTAATAAGTATATCTGATATTAAATAGGCCTCTTTTCTTGGAATGAAACGTGAGATAATAGTATACCATTGTCCATGCCACTATGATAATACTTTATCTTTGTACTTGAACCTTTTCTTCTAATACTCTAAGGTAATTGAAAAGTGTGAAATAGTATGGGGTGTGTGTGTGTATGTTAAAACATTCCCTCAGAATTCTTCACCAGGCTGGTTAGACTCAGCCAATGTCTTTTTAAAAATTTAAAACCTTTGATTGTTGGGGAAATAACTTCCCACCTCAAACTATTTTTTTCCAATGAACAATTTAGACAAAAATAGAGGAAGCTCTGTTCAGACAGGAGAGAAAATACTCTAAAAAGTATTCAGTTTCTGTTCTATGGTAGGAAAAACTAAATCATTACTTTATTCTAAACCTATCAAAGAAAATTAAAACTTTGAAGTTCCCCTTTATTTGCCATTTAAACACTTGCCAATTACTCATATGATATGACTGAATTTCATATAAATATGACCTCTTCCACAGTGTGTAGAGAAAGAGTGATCATTTTCAATGACAATAGATCTTATTTGACATCTACACAAATAGACAAAACTTACTGTGCCAAGATCAATGATGAAGCAGTCACCCTTGTTGAAACTGTTCCAACTAAGGGGTACTTCTGTGGCCCTGACCACTCTCCGACCCTTCACGTGTAGGAGCCTCTCAGCTGTCAGGTCATTTGTGAGAACATGATTTAGTCCAGACGCCACACCTCCAGCCTAGCCAGTGGGAGGAAAACATGGAACAAATCAAAGGGAGAACTGATGAGGCTTCTGACTATTCACAACAAAGCATAAAATCACAGGTATTTACGCCAAATCTGTGTCTATTAAGTATGTAAGTATATGTGAAAAGTTAAATATATAGAGAATTCTCTGACAAATCAACAAGTGTGTTCTTTGGATCTCTTTATTCTTTCTGTTTTAACAATTCAATTTAAAATTATAAATATTTACTAAGAACCTTCAGTGCATAAAACTGTGCATAAATGAAAAGAATAAGCCATAGCTCTTGCCCTGGCAAACTAATAATCACCAGATCATTAATGAGTGAGAAGGAAAGAGTTTGGGGAAGATGACAGGAGGCTGGAGGAGAACTAGAGATACAGTTAACAGCCGCCAGAGAGCCAGGCATTCAAAAGTTCCCATAGTCCCGAAGTGAGGACAGAAAAAGGGATGAGTACTAGCCAGGGAGGAGCCACTCTTTAAAAAGCTATATGTCTTCTTTGTTTTCTAATAGAGTTTACTAAGTATGCTAGGTCTCTCAGGTTTTTTTGTCATTTTTAACCTCAAGTAGGAAAGATGCAGTATCTTGATTGCCTGTCCCCAACTAAAATGAAACAAAACAAAAATAAAATAAAACTACACTGAAACATTTTCTTGCATTATTATATAAGGAAACAGTGGCGAGTAATAGAATTCTATAACCCCTTCCCAGGCCCTAGGAGACCTTAGCGAAAAATGGCACAAGTCAGAGAAATGAGATAGAAAGATGGTCTTAGAACTTCCTAGGTGAACCTTTACATTGTATGTGTTATATGGTTTTTGCTGCCTTGGTTGTGGTAGGTTTTGTCAAATTCTGCCCTTTCCAGATGGATACAATACTCCATACAATAATTTACCTTTCATTTTTTTTCCCTAATTACATGTTAGAAACCATATCTTTATTTTCACAGTTAATTGAGGTAATGTACATAACTAAGATGCAGTCTAGACAAATCTCAGTCACTGATAGATCAAAGGTCTCCTACAGTGATGGTCAAAAGAATTAGCTGTATAAATAATCTATAAAATAATCTAGCTTTCAAATTTATTATATAAACATATATAGTAAATCTAAAATAAGAGGTTAAGCTGCATATAATCATTAACATATTCTTTAAGTTTCCATTGGCTTTAAATTCCCCCACTCTTGTCTAGGAAAAGGACTTTCTGAATAGGATGGTTTTGTTACTATAGGTTAAATACTGAATCAGAACAATTATAACTTCAAATTTTAAGAGTATATAATAATTTCCCAGCCCATAATTTTAAAAGGGTTGACATATTTCTTGACTGAATGAACTATTACATGATAAAATAAATACAAGTTTTCATCTACATACTGCTGTTCTTGCTCATTTCAATTGTTTTTTAAATAGGAAGTACATTTTCATCTGATAAAAAGAGTATAAGAACACTTGATCAAAAAAAGCTTTAAGATGTAGCATAGACATAGATTGAGGATACTTATATAACATTCAAGCTAATTTCATATGGTGAAATATTAGAATGATACATAGTCTAAAAATCTGCAATATTTAAAAATTTATTTTGTCTCATATTTTATGTCAGAAATACACTAAAAAAAGCTCTATATATTGCATATATGTCTGTATCAAACAGTAAGTAGTTCTTCTGGGAATATTGTTTAAATTAACCATAGAAACTTCCAGGTACTCTTTTCTTTTCCCCTTGGAATTAATCACTTATCACAAAATGAACCATTTCAATGTTTAAACTTACACTTTTCTTGATACTTAAAATAAATAAACAGAGTTTTATTCAAACTTTACAATACTTTCACAAGGCAGAATAAAAGCAAAGCGGGGCTGGCCTGGTACTGTACTGGTTAAGCCCTGTATGTCGGCAGTCAGATCCCACATGATCACACATGGCCAACCGTGGTTTGAATCTTAGCCTCAGCGCTTGAGAAGCACACTGGGTATATGTATTTGTGTGCCCCAAATCCCAACAAGATGTAGAAATGGAGGGACAAGGATTGCAGTGTGATCATGACCCATTGGGAGGTGTTATTTATTTATTTATTTTCCTCTCTCTCTGTCTTGTGAATGCATGTGCCCTCTAGCAATTAAAGAATAAAAAGAGCAAAGCAAGGTGACAATGATCTTCTAAACCAGTGGTACCTTAAGTATAAGTGTGTTGGCTGACAGACATCTGATAGTGATTATGTACCATCATGGCTAAGGGAAGGGTTTTTTTGAACTTGGGAAAAGTATATTGGTCAGAGATTTAATATAAGGGAACAATGGTAAGTAACAGAATTCTATAACCCCTTCCCAGGCCCTAAGAGACTTCAGAGAAAAATAGCATAAGTCAGAGAAATGAGATAGGAAGATGGTCTTAGAATTTCTTAGGTGAACCTTTGCATTATATATGGTATATGGTTTTGCTGTCTTGGTTTTGGTAGGTTTTTTCAAATTCTACCCTTTACAGATGGATACAATACTCCATACAATAATTCAAAATAAAAAATTTGCTTTGGTATTTGAACCATATTTATACTGAAAGCATCAAATATAATGATTACAGCATAGGCTTGGAGTCAGTCACTCAGTTACATACTAGCTGTGAGACCTTAGCAAGTTACACACGCCTCTCTAAGCTTTGCTGTGTTTATCTCACTAGAGTAACAATGACAGAAACAGCACCACAGTGTTATTTACATTACATTTTATAATAAACATGAAGTGACTGGCACTTTCCTGTAAGTTTGAAACTAGTAATGAGATTAAATAAAGTATAACCTAATCATCTTTGTTATTCTGGTAGTAAATTATCTCTACTTCCACATTTCCTATCAAGTATAATTGCAATTGCACATTGTCATCAGTTCAATGTTACTAATGATAAGATTGTGAACTGATTTTCTTGCTGATATATTTGACCTCCATTTGCAAACATCCTCTTTCCAAAAACTGCTGATTTGTGGTGGCTTTAATGTTGATAATTATGAGATGATATCCAATAACTGTAAAATTACTTTTAATATTTAATGCAATCCTTAATGCTTACAGCACTTTATAATAGTTTATGAGCAAGTAGTTTTAATATTCACTGTACATGTGAGGACACTGAGCACAGAAAACTTAAGTAATTGCCCTCAGGCAAACAAGTCATATGTGGCAGAAATGGACTTATAACTAGCATGATGCCATAGCACCTGCTTTTAGAAACTAGAAGATCCAAGTTGTTTAAAAGGTTGTGTTCATAAAAACAGGGAAAATTTCAGTATCATTTGATATAAACTGTAGGAACTTAGATACGTTAAATAAAAAGAGGTAATAGTTTATATTTACGGTAGTTCATAGCCTAGAGTAAAATGATTTCAAGAGAGATAAGAGGACTTAGTGTTTTGTCCTAATCTCAGTAGTATAAAATATTCAATGAAGACAGTGATCTGAACAAACAGAGGCAGAAATAAACCCTGGCATCTTACTAAGCACTTTTAACACTGTAGACAGAATTGTAGTTCAGCTCTGAGGTTTCAGGTCCTCTCTGGGGTGATATGCTCAACAGATGGGGTAGTGGGGTGTACTGAACACCTGTTGGAGCATGTCTGAGTCTGAAAGACTTGTTTCTGGAACGTTTGAGGAGAGTATTCCTCACACATGGGGTCCGCAGGTAGTGTGGCTAAGGGCTCTGGACTCCCACATGGCTGACCGTGGTTCAAGTCCCGAACCTGGAGGTTTGCTTTCTCTCTTTCTCTCTCTCTCTCTTGCTCTGTAACTCTCTGATCAAACTAAAATAAGTAAATAAATAAAATTAAACAAAATAATTATTTGAAAAAAGAAAACTGAACACACATGGTGGGGTTGGATTCAGGAATGGTAATAAGATGACCAGTCTGCAAAGGTCTATGGAAGAACGACAGAAAAAAACTATCCTTTACTCAAGGTTGGCTTAAAGGAATAGACCAATTTAAATTTTTTTGTTTTATTTTTAGAAGTAGTGAGAATTAATTGATGTTTTAGACCAATGCCCATAATCAGTATACATAAATTGTGTGTGTGCATATGTTTGTGTGTGTATATACACATTTGAATCTATGTGGCTAAGCCAGACATAGTTTCAGCTCAATGGTTTCATTCATATAATTTTTAAGATCAAACAACACTAGGTGAGAAATACAGGTATAGTTTTTTTGTAGTAAAAACCATACTACAAACTATTTCAAAAACTATACCATATTAAAAAAAACCTACTATACTACAAACTTTTATAGTTTTAAACTATAATTTTATAAATATTGTATTAGGTAGAATGTTCTAGAATAATTGAGATTGTGAAGACTTGGAATACTTGTAGTGAATTCAGAGATTATCTAGAATAGCAAAAATATAAACTGTTAAGACCCCAGTTACCAATATTTTTTAAAATAAATACGGAAGTCAAAGGTCTTTTTTGTGAAGATATAGCTGAAAGTTCTTAACTTTTTTTTTAAATGTCAGAGTGTATCTGTATGCATAAGAGAGAAAGAGAGACAGAGAAAGAGAGAGAATCCCCAGCAGGATTTGGTCATACAGTGATTCCTTTTCCTCCATTTTTCCATCTTGTCAGATCCTGGGCATGCATGTTTGAGCATCTGACCTATTTTTCAAGAGAACTTGAACCCTGGTCTGCCAAATATGATCAAGTGCTAATTGCTACACTACTGGGTCTGGCCTCTTTTAACATTCTTAAAAATTAACCTACCAAAATAAGCCAAGTTGAAATATTGCATCATACATTCTACAAACATTTATTTATTTATTTATTTGGAGAGGTTTTTGCTATAGGGCACGTGTGCTTACAGAAAGACAGAGACAGAGAGGCAGAAAGTGATAAATCACCCCCCAGGGAGGATGACCATGCCACAATCCCTTCTCCTTCATTCTCTTCTTGGGATCTTTGGCACACACACATGTGCACCCAATATGAGTTTAAGCCACCAAGTCTAGGACTCAAAACACGGTCGACTACATGGGAGTCCAGTGACATAGCCATTAAGCCAACTGCTGGTCTCACATTCTACAAACATTTATTAAGCACTTACCCTGTGTTCTGCAGGTACTGGGATATATCAGTGAACAAAACAGATTAAAGCAAAAATAGCATAAGACAAAAAAATCCTACCCTCAGTGAATTTTCCTATGAAGACAAAAGGTATGGATGAATAGGAGTAGAAAGAGAGGCATAATGGACATTCTTTGAGAGAGCTTCTTACCTTGTATTTTAGACCTCCTTTGAAATAGCCAACAAAATCAGTGGACTCATAGCCTTGAAGTTCTCTATTCTGCACTGGCTTGCCACCCAAATAGTCATCCATTTGAACAGTGAAAATGGCGGCTGCTGTGCTTTCATCCTGAGAGCACTCCTTTCCTGAAATAGCAAATGATGACACCTCAATTATTAAGCAAGAAAAAGAATTACGACAGAACTTCTGATATGAAAGCAATTGGATTTTCTCCATTATGTCTAACTACAACATTCTTCTAAACAAAGATCTTTTAGTAGAAACAATGTGCATGATATAATATATTCTTTGGCTAATAACTAAAAAAGTTGTTTTTGATTCTGCCTTTTCCCAATACCTTTGAAAAGTTTTAAAAGAAATATTACTGTCTAAATACACTTGGGAAGATATAATAATATATTACAGTAAGTTTCAGGTAAGCATTCATTTAGTCAGTAAGATCAAGCTATGAAAATGTTTTCCAGTCGTTTAGAATTTATTACCATCAATTTTGTTTTTAATTAGAGATGTGTTGTCCAATATGGCCTCAAACTTGTGAACCTTCTGCCTTAGACTCTTGAGTAGCTAGGACTACAGGTGTTCACACCACCACACCTAGCTAGTACCAATCTTCAGGCTTCTGATATGTTAGTATGTTAATATTTGTGAAGCATATAAACACTCTAAGTCATAATTAAATAATTTAAGGAAAGCAGATTGTTAGAAGGGGTGAATTAATATAACCTACTTTATCCATATTTTTTAAATTATTTATTTAATTAAATTAGTTTATTTATTTTAATTTGACTAGAGAGAGAGAAGTGAGAAAGCCAGCTGCCAGAACTGGGACTTGAACTATGATCCCCCCCAAGGAGAATGACCATACCACAGTCCCTTCTCTTCCATTCTCCTCTCGGGATTTTGAGCATGCACACATATGCCAGTGTGAGTTTCAAGCTGCTGGGTCCAGGAATCAAATCACGATCGACCTTGTGGAAGTCCAATACCTTAACCCCTATGCCACCTTCTGGCTCCATTTTTCCCCTATTCTTAATTTAGGGGTATATAGGGTTTGCGAATACCCATGACTTGGGACTGACTGAATCTGGGGGTGGATCAGAGCATTAAGACCATGTTGACTGTGCTTTTTCTCCATTTCTCTCTCTCTCTTTCTGTCTCATTCATGGAAAAAATTATTAAGTAAACTTAAAAAATAATTTAAAAAGGTTAGAAGCTGTAACAATGTAATAATAGTTCATATGAACAATTCTGATCAAGAACAAATTCCATTGAGAGTAAGTCCAAATCACCAAAGTTGAAGAAGGGAAATAACCTATATTAAAGAAAGGATCAGATTCCATATTCCCACCTCCTGTCAAAGGAGATCTGTGAAGGAAGTATCTTCTAAAGAAAAAAATAAAATCAGTAGCTAGAGGTTTATTGCACATGATAACTTTCTGACCTGGTGAGGTCAAAGGTAAATATTTAACACACATGCAATTTCGCAGTCCCTCAGGTCTTGGTATCCATCTTCTGCCGATATTCTCAGCACTTACAGAGAATACCAACAAAGACAAAGACCAGATTTTTTACAGTAATGCTTTAAAAGAGAACCTTAAAACAAGATTAATAGCAAAAGTATTAAGGATGATGTATTTTACAAACATTCCTAACTACAAATTGAAAACCCAATCTCTTTAGGTAGATTTTAATGGACAGGCAGGAAGTTAATGAATGAACTGGAAATAAATTCTGCTACCATTTGCTAATGCCCATGTAATATGCTAGACTAGGACTATCAGAATGAATAAACCAGAGTATTTACTTGAAAGAAAATAAAAGGTCTAATGAAGTCAGTATCAAAACTTTGCAAAAATTATATAGAATCAAGTTCAGTTATGGGTCTGTCCTGTGGCCTAGTGGTTTAGGGGACCACATCATGCACGGCCAACTACACAATTAGAACTTAGGCCCCAGTGGCTTAAAAACATGCTGGGGACATGTGTGCATGCCCAAAATCCCACAGAAAAAAGAAATAAAGAAGGGACTGCAATGTGAACACATCCTACTGAGAGTGCTTTCTCTTTCTCCCTCTCTCTCTGTCTCTCTGACAAAATTTAAAATTCAGTTGTATGATGACAGAAGCATAGTAATGATCAGAAATGTATGAACTTTGTCTGATTTCCGCTTAGGACTTCATTTGGTTTTCCTCTGTGAATTCTGTTCATGGCTTCAATCATTTCTCTTCTCTGATTTTACCAATGTCTTTTATGTTGTTATGTTACACAAGCTGTGCCATTTTATATTATGTTTAATTATGTTATACTTGTATAAATGCTGTAAACCTCCTAAAATTTTTGGGGGATGTGATGATTTATATGTAAAACAAAGATATCTAGAGAGGTTTAAAAACTAGATTAATGATGGGGCCAGCAGCTGGCATGGTGATTAAGGCACTGCACTCCCACATGGCCAACCATGGTTTTAGTTCCAAACCTGTGACTTGCTTTCTCACTGTCACTCTCCTTCTGTCTCGCTCTCTCTCTCTCTCTCTGGTCAAATTGAATAATAATAATAATATTAAAATAAATAAACAAATAAACAAAAAAACTAGATTAACCCCAAACCCAATCATAACAGCAACAACCCAAAATTCCCTAAATTAAGAATAGGGGAAAACTGGGGCTAGCAGGTGGCATGGGGGTTAAGGTGCTGAACTTCCACATGGTCAATCAGATTCCATTTCTGGACCCAGCACCTTGAAGCTCACACTGGTGCGTGTGTGCATGCCCAAAATTCCAATAGGAGAATGGAAGAGAAGGGACTGCGGTGTGACCATGCTACTTGAGGGAGGAGGGTGAGGATGATTTCTTGTTTTCTGTCTCTCTGTCTCTCTGGCAAATGTATGTGCCCTATAGCAACAATCTTTAAAAAAAAAAAAAAAAGAATATAGGAGAACATCCTTATCTTGAAAATAGCATCTACAAAAGACATAGCGGTAACAAACTTAATGGTGAAAGACTGAATGCTTTCTCTGAGAGATTAAGAGCAAGGCAAGGATGTCCACTCTCACCATTCTTACTCAACTTAACATAGGAAGTTCTAACCACTGCAGTAAGGTAAGGAAAAGAAATAAAAGGTATACAGAGGAAATAAAAATCTCTCTATTTAAAGATGACAGGATTATTTGCATAGTTAACACTAAGGATTCTATAAAAACAAACCTTCCTAGAACTAGTAAGTATATTCAGTAAGACAGTAGAATATACGATTAACTGGTAACAAAACTCAGTCACACTTCTAAACAGAAACAATGCACATGCCAAACCAAAGTTAAATGCACAATACCATTTATATCACTTGGAAAGAACTGAAACACTAGGTCAAATATTTAACAAAATATGTACAGCATCCATACACTAAAAATTACAAAATGCTGATAAAAAATTAAAGACCTAAATAAATATAAAAATAGATTTTTTATAGATTGTAAGACAACATACTAATGGTGTCAGTTCCTCAGAAATTGACATAAACATATAATGTTATTCTTGTTAAACTCATGGTAAGGTTTATTATAGACATACAAAAGCTTATTACAAAACTTATATAAAAGCACAGGCCCTAGAATAGCTAAAATAATCTTGAGAAAGAAACAAATCAAGAGGACTCTCTCTATTTGAATTAAGGTTTACTATACAATTATAGTTATTAAAAGTGTGGTATTGATGGGACCAGCAGTTAAGGTAATGGCTATGTCGCTGGACACCCATGTAGTCGACCGCAGTTCAAGTCCCGGACCCGGTGGTTTAAACTCATGCCGGAGACGTGTGTGTGCATGCCCAAGATCCCGAGAGGAGAATGGTGGAGAAGGCATTGCAGCGTGGCTGTCCCCCCTGGGGGGTGATTTCTCGCTTTCTGTCTCTGTCTCTCTCTGTCTGGCAGCGCACGTGCCCTATAGCAAAAACCTCTCCAAAAAAAAAGTGTGGTATTGATAAAGGAAAGATACATATACCAATGGACTCAGTTTCTCCCAATGGTAATATTTTGTAAAATTATAGTATGATTTAGAATACTATAGTATACTAAAGAATAACATAATGTAGTGCAAAATACCACAACTAGGATATGGACATTAGTACAATCTATATATCTCATTGTCTGTGTGTGTGTGCATTTAATTCTATACAATTTTAGTAGATATATGCATTCATGTATTTGCTATAACAATCAAGATACTGTATAGTTCACCAAAAGATCCTTCATGTTGCTTTTTTAATAATTACACCCAATCTCTGCCTGCATTACTATCCATCCCACTCCTTTGGCAACTACAATTCTAAAATGTTGTCATTTCGAAAATGTTATACATATAGAATCATACAGAATGGAATCTGTTGGTACTGAATTTTTTTTCTTCACTCAGCAAAGTTCCCTAGAGATTCATCCAAGTTGTTATGTGCATAATATTGTAGTTTTTTTTATTGCTGATTAGTATTCTTTAGTATAGATTTATCACAACTTGTTTAACTAGTCACTCCTTGCAGAGTATGTGCATATTCCAGTTTGGGGCGATTCAAATAAAGCTACTATGAACATTTGTGTATATATAGTATTTTTTATAAGAACATACATTTCTATTTCTCCAGAATAAATGGCTGTGAGTGCAATTGCTGGGTCATATAGTAGTTGCATGTTTAACTTTATAAGAAAACATCAAATTATTTTCTGAAGTGCCACACTAAGGCATCTCCCCATCCGCCCTCTCAACCCAGCAATGTATGTAAGGGATCCAGTTTCTTTTTTTTGGAGAGGTTTTTGCCATAGGGCGCATGCGCTTGCCAGACAGACAGAGAGAGACAGAGAGATAGAAAGTGAGAAATCACCCCCCCAGAAGGGATGGTCATGCTGCAATCCCTTCTCCTCCATTCTGCTCTCGGGATCTTGGGCACGCACACACACGCGCCCGGCATGAGTTTAAGCCACCGGGTCCAGGACTCAAACCGCGGTTGACTATGTGGGAATCCAGTGACATAGCTATTATGCTAACTGCTGATCCTTGGATCCAGTTTCTTAAAGTGCTCACTAGCCCTTTGTATAAATTCCTTATATTGAACACTGAATATGGTAATCCAATTCTTTGGCTTCCACTAGTGCCTTGACCAAGGCCTAGTACAGATTAGTAATAACATAAATAGATGTTACTTTTAAATATATTCATGTGCTTTTAAAACTGGCAAGAAGAGTGAGGAGATGTAGGTTGGCGATATGTGCCTGCTGCCCAAAATCCTGAGAGAATGAAGAAGAAAGAATTGTGGATGGCCATCCTTCCTGGGGTGCTTTCTCACTTTCCCTCTCTGTTTCTCTTCTGTGAGCACACCCATCATATAGAAAAAAAAAATCTTATCGTTGTCTACATATTTCTCATTTCAATTTTCTTGAATAGAATAAAAATTTTGGTTTCCAGAGGCTTATAAATGTGTATGTGTGTGTGTGGTTTTGTGTTTTCCTTCTATGCTGAGGAATAAAACTACAGAAATAAGCATTGGGGTGAAAAGCTACTTTTAAAAGAAGGCAAAAAGGCTCAGATGATCAGCATGTAGACAGGGTGTGCCTACCAGCAAAGGGAGAGGTTGGACATTCAGGATGTTTACCAGTAAAAGTAGAGGGTGGAAAAAGTAGAACACACAAGGCCCTGTGTCCTGAGTGCCTGGCACAAATGCAGCCCAAAATAGGTACTGCTGCTGAAGGAACCACTGTTCTACACTGTGCCCTTGTTAAAAACAGGTAAATAATAAATAAATAATAATTAAACAGCACATTTATATAAATAAGCTATCTCATGCTACTTTCTATATAAATCATGTTTTCTTTCCTGCTTCTAACCAAGGTAACTAGCTCCCTAATAAAGGGGAGTTCCTGTTCACTTAACCTGCAAGCAGCCTTAGGTAGGCAGGATCCTGATTTAACCAGTCCAAAATATGTTAATCTCCACAATTAGATTTTTTTTTTTTGCTCGAAGGCAACAAATTAAATTAACTTATTAGAAAAAAAAAAAAAAAAAAAGACTCGCTAGCTATGGCAGAAGCCCTCAAACTTGTTTGACTTCATTCCCGCTCTGACCGGGGAAACCAGGACTGAACTTGTTGGAAGGTGAGCGGGACCTGGCCAGCACCAGGGTGCGTGGAGGCAGCGCCCCGGAGTGGCAGTCGAGTTGGAGACTGAGAAGGTGAAAGTGTGAGAAACCAGAAGAATCGGCCTTCAAGGTTGGGAACTACAATTGACAAAAGGTCAAAGTCATAAGGGTAGGTCTGCTCAGGACTTCGCCCACGCCCCGCCCTTGCAGTTGGCCAGGAGTTGACTTAGGCTAGAAGCCGGAAAATAGACCTTGCTGAACGCAACCAGCGCGAGTAGTCGGATCTCTCCCAGTGTGTTGTGCTCTTTCCTCCAAACCTGCAAATCTAAGACCCCAGGCGTCCGCCACTTCCCGACCTGGACACATCCAGGTCTTTCCGCCCGCGGTCTCTTACCGAGCCAGAAGTGCAGGCGGTAGGTGAAGCCGCTGCTCGCCTTGGCAGTGTGCAGCACCAGGTACGCATCCCCGACGTAGAAGTCTCCGTACGCGCTCTCGGGCACCGGCACGAGCTCCAGCTTCTCGATCCTCCAGACCTGCAGCCCCGCCTGCTTGCCCGCCCGGGCGAACTCCTCGTGGGACAGCTCTTGGGCCATGACTTAGGCGCGTGATGCTCTGGCAACCTCGAGACTTCGTTGATGCTGGAGTCAGACTAAATCGAGACCGACAGGAGGGACCCTGTTTGCTTGTACTTTATAGGGTTAGCGCTCTGTGGAGGCGGCGCCCCACAGCGGGAGGGGCTAAGTGCCCAGGCGTGAGTTTCTGGGAAGAAGGCGACCTCTTTACTTAGTTAAGCGCCAGCTTCCAAGCTCCTCCGCCTTTCCTCAGACCAGGAAGGGAATCTGCATCCCAGAAATCTTAAGATTTGGTGGCAATTTCTAGACACTCCTGGAAATGCTTCTTCCAAGGAAAGACGTTTTCCCTGGCAACGTTTGGAAGAGGTTAGCGATTAAGACTGTTTGGCACTCCCCCAGGCACACCCGTCACCATCATTTGGCCATTTCCCCTTTCTCCTGATAATCCTGTTATTTCTGGGTCTGGGATATACCAGGTGGGAGGGGGGAGGTGAGAAAGAGTGCACCAATTCAGTAGCGCTGAGTCCGCCTTTCCCTAGGAGCAGCAGTACCTGTTTTTTCCGGAGGTCTAGAATTCTTTCTTGGTCGTCTTATGCTGACTGCAACATTTGTCGTTAGGACCAGAGCGATGATGACACATTGGCCTGCAGGAGGAATTTTAATACTTTTTTTTTTTAAATGACTTTTCAGGTAACATTCATCCCCACCATCAACTTCATTTCATTGGCCAGTCTCTCTCCATTTCTAATAGCCAAAGGTTCTCTCTTGATCTTCCACAGTTTGAAAATAGTATCATGCAGAATCTCCTGTCAGATTTCTTAGAAAAGTTGAAGACCTCTTCCAGGGAGACAGACTTCTGTAAATCTCCAGGAGTTCAGGAGCTGTGGTTAAGTTCTCTAGCCACCTGCCTCCTTTGGCCTATAAAGTTACTGAAAAGAAAAAAGGAAAAACAGCAGCTGACTTCCTGGGATATTCTCAGCCAGGGCTGTTTGTGACTGCGATTTTATGCTTGGTTTGCTTTTTGAGTTACCTTCACCTGGCATCAAGGTGCTAATTTTCTTATTGTTTCCCCTACTTTTTCTTTTCCCTCCAGCATGTGCAAGTCACTGTAGAATACAGATGGAAAATACTCTTAATTTGGCATTCATTTAACAGAAACTGGTATGGCAAAGGATTCTACCGTTAAAAAGCAAATCACCCAGAATGTAGAGTATGAATTGATTTTTATAAATATTAATTTTCTTTCATTCTGTTTCCCAAATTTCGAGAGTCCCTGGAAGGTCACTAAGAATGTACAACTAGAGTTTTCCTTAATTAACTTATATTTTTAAATAGATATTATGTGATTATGGTAAAAAAAAAAATTCAAAAGTATACAACGTATAAAAGAAAAATTTATCTCAATTTCACCCTGTTACCCAGCTGCTCTCCCCAAAGATTACTAAATTACCAGTTTCTTATATCAAGAGACAAAATTAAAACAATGTATTTTAAAGATCATAATCAGGTTTTAGTGACTCCAGAATTCAGAAAACACTTCCTTTCATTTATCTAATGAGAGCAGAGGAGGGCTTGGTTTTAACAGAGAAGTGCTGAAGAAAGCAGGAACAAAAGAATGAAAAGAGAATTGATCACTTCAATGTAACTTTCCTTGTAAAGCAGAAATAAGGAAACAATAATAGGAAAATAACTGAGTAGTTAACAATCAAGTTACTTCAGCTCTACTTTTGTGTACAAATTAGAGAGAAGTAACTTATAAGCATGCCAATTGAAACTGGCCTATCTCAGAAATTTGGCTGTTCTCTCTCATTCTCTTGATTTCTTGGAAGGCTAAATAACAGCTTAAGATTTGGTGACATGGAGTTATGAGTGACTGTGTTTGGATTTTTAGTCTGGTCAGTAAGGATCTAGTACAGAAATTTAGTCCAAAACAATGGCCATCTATTAATTTTTATTTAACACTTGTATGATTTTCTGGAGATTTTTTTTTTTACCTACAAGAATAAAAATTATATAGCTTTTAATTTCTTAACAGAAATGATACTATATGAACTGTTCTGAATCTACTTGTGTGTGTATGTGTGTGTGTGTGTGTGCGTGTGTGCATGTGTGACTTATATATCAATACACAGTACTCATAGAACTGCCTTTTTTCACCGAACACATGATAACCCATCTTGTAAAAGCACTGCAGTTTATTTAATCTGTCCAAACTGATAGGCATTTACATGTATTTTGCTAATTCAATGTTGCAAACAACATTTCTGAATATACTGTTTTTAGGCATATGCATCCTTGTAACTGTGAGGTGAATATCTAGAAATGCAATTGCTACAGTGGTCAAAATTAAAATGGTGTCAATGATGATAATAATTAAGAAACCAATCATTACCATTTATTGATCTTATACAATGACGGGCTATGGCACCAAGTGTCTTAATTTGATTCCTGCCTCCCTCCTTAGTTCTGAGACTTTCGGCAAGTCATTTAACTACTGCAAGCCTCAGGTTCCTCATCTATAAAATGGGAAAACTTTGCCTTATTAGGTTGTTATTTTAGCTAAATGAGTTGATACAAAGCATTTTCATCTATTGCAAAGCATTGTGTGAGAAGCAATAATCAGGAGTTTTTATTATGTGATCATAAACTTCCTTTTGCTCCTCTGTGTTTCTGTACCCTGCAATCTTCCCTTAGATTGACCCGCATAATCTAAAGCTACTGGGTTCTGAGGGGTTAGTTTGGGGTTTGGTTGGAGACCAGAGGAAGATAGAAGAGTGAGGTTAGAGTATTTCTTTCCTTGGTTTCCTCTACCAAAAGTCACTGTTTCTTTAAAGGCAAAAGGCAATTAACTGTGACTTTTTCTCTTCCTTGGATTATAACAATTGAACCCTCCTAAGTACTCTCTTAGTTTCTCTGCCTATCTACTTTCATATATAGTTTCCTACAAAGACAGACAAACAAACAAACAAAACTCCTGGAATTATCCTACATTTTGAACATTCTCTGTTACCAGATGAGATCCTGACTGACAAATTTCATGAACTATATTCGTGTGTGTCATAACCAAAACAATGAAAGTGGGTATCATAAGCCTCATTTTACAGTTGAAAAAACTAAGTCTTAAGAATTGCCACAGGGAGACTCACAGATGGCATAACGGTTATGTCTCTGAACTCCTACATGGCCCACCATGGTTCGAGTTCTGGACCTGGCTGCTTGAAACTCACATCAGGTAAATGTGTGTGCATGTCCAAGATCTTTTTTTTTTTTTGAGAGGTTTTTTTTTGGTTGTTGTTATAGGGTGTGTGCGCTCGCCAGACAGAGACAGAAAGCGAGAAATCACCCCCCAGGGGGGATGGCCACGCCACAATCCCTTCTCCTCCTTTCTCCTCTTGGAATCTTGGGCACGCACACACACGCACCCGGCGTGAGTTTTAAGCCACCGGGTCTGGGACGCGAACCGCGGTCGACTACATGGGAGTCCAGCGCATAGCCATTACGCTAACTGCTGGTCCCGCATGTCCAGGATCTTGAGAGAAGGGATTGCAGCATGGCCATCCCTCTTGGAGGTGATTTCTTGCTTTCTATCTCTTTGTCTCTCTGGTGAGTGTATGTGCTCTATAACAAAAATCCCCAATCCTCAAAGGTCACCCAACTGGTAAGTTCAAGGCTCTCTCTTTAATTCAAAAACAACTTCTGGGACCAGCATATGGTGTGGTGGTTAACATCCTTGACTCGCATATGGATGACTGGGGTAGGAGTCCTGGACCTGGTTGCTTGTTTTCTCACTTTCCCTTTTTTTGTTCTCTCTCTCTCTCTGGTCAAATTAAAAATAATAATAATAAATAAAATAAAATAAATAATTCTTTAAAAAAACACTTCTTCTTTCTAAGAACTTGTTCTTTCAATCCAAATTATTATACCTGGCCAAGCTTTGTTCACTTAGGTATTCTTTATATTTTCGTTTTCTCCTAACTTGTACGTAGGGGAAGCTTTTGATCTAGTATGCCCCCTGTAGTACTAAGAAATTTAAATTTAACCTTGTCACTGAACTGTTAGATATCTTCATTTCCTTATCTGTAGAGTTAAAATATTTGTTATCCTTCTTCCTCTAGGTAAAAAATTGAGAATTGGTGCTCTAGATTTAAAATATTAGTAATTAAAAATCAGAGTCATCAGTTAAATTCAGTTTCAATTTTAGTAATAATTTCTTTCTTGAAAAGTTAAAAGGCCAGGACTATGGTGAGGTAAGTGGGACACGTGCCTGTAATGTAAAATTTATAAAGGCACTATGAAAAAAAAAAGTAAATATTAGTTTCAAGCAGTATTTTTAAGTTTATTTTTTTACTTATTTATTTCATGACAAAGAGATAAAGAGAGAGACAATCACCCTCAACTGAATCTCATACTGTAACTTCCTCACCCCCAGCCTTTTCCAGCCATCTAGGATTATGGGCACATGTACATGTTTGACATGTGTAGATCTGGGAGCCAAATCCTGATCCCCCATATGGCCTCCAACATTATAGAATACTGCAGTACCTCTGCACCATTGCAACTGGACCTAAGGCAATAGTTTTGACAATGAAAATTAATACAAATATCATGATAAAAAATAACATTTTGAATAGAGGTAGGATTGTTAGTAGTGTTCAACGTGGCTATATTAGAAGCTGAAGCAAAGGAAAAATATTAATCCTGCCCTTACTTAAAGTTTTTATATTTGGTTTACCATACTTTGCATTAATTTTGATATTTAAAAAGTGTTGTATTAAAATACTATTTATCTTATTGGTTTTTCTTTTCTTCTTCTTTTTTTTTTCTGCCACCCCCTTACATTCTGTGCTTGAGGCAAGTGCTCACGCTCTTGAGCCTCATCTTATTCTGGATAAGTGAGTTGAAGGCTTAAACTTTGAACTTTCTGCTAGACATTGATAACTAATTGATTCTGCCAAGGTCGAGTTTAGTATATTCTTAATAATCTCATCATTTCCCTCAAACATACTTCCTCTATTTTTTTCTAAATTCATTAACACTATCATTAAATTTTGACTGAGAATTCTCACTGTATATCCACATTCAATAAACAAGGCTATCCGAAGTGTTTCTCCATTTCATCCCCAGTTACCTGCATTCTTGCTTCTACTCGGATTCCCATCTTTAGTAGAGACATGTAGTGTTAGTTTACAATATGTCTTTGACCTAGGTCGAATCCTCGATCTTCCACTCTTCAGCTGATTAAACTCTGATAAGTTACTTGACTTTACTGTGCTTCACTTTTAACATCTGTTGAATGGAAATACTGATAGAAATTATGTGGTAGAATTGTCATGAGGATTAAGTTAATAAATACATATAAACCTTGAACAGTACCT